GGGCCGTACCAGTCTAGCCCTTGCTCAAGAAACCAACAGAGCAAAAGAAACACAGCATGGCTAGACCCCAGCTCACGGTTTGTAGCTATATACATGGTTTTGGAACAGTGAGGTAGCACAAGGATGTTGGTAACCAATGGTTTTTTTTTCCAGAAAGAGGCTTGTAGGTACATCTTGGGGAAAAGCCATGTGCAGCCCCTGCTCACCAACTTTCTGCAGCACAGGTCGGTCAGGTTTAGGCTAAGAACCCACAATGCTCAGTCATCCAGGACAGATGACAGTGAAGTTCTTGCTTATTATCTAGTCAGAGAGTCAGAGGTCACTAACACAAAACCTATCAGTAGCGCGGACTGAACTCTTTCCCCCTAACTTACCAATCATGTGGCCAGTGAACTCACCCTTCAGGTCATCACCTTGGATGTGAAGTCCTCTAGGTGGACTCAGGTCTGAGTGAGGTCCCTCTACCATGTCTTCCACGGCTGCCTGTCCTTCCCTTATAAGAGCTCTTAATAATTCTGATTGCCTAATTACTCGTCTGACTTTCTCAATGGGGCTAGGCCAGTCTTGATCACCAGTGCACTGCCGACACACTGCTCACTGTCAGCTACACAGCAGGCATTCAATTTAAACACTGTATGTATCAGATGAATGCACATGGGCTCCAGTGTCGGAAAGACCTAGGTTCAAACCCTGGCTGTGACATTTATATGCTAAATGAATTGGGCTAATTTCTTGACATCTTTGAGCCTCAGTTTTCTTATCTGAAAAATGAGAATAATGGACTGATTTCTTAGAGTCGGAGTGAAGACAAAATGAACTGAAATAATGTATATAAAATACTAGCACGATGCATAGCACATAGTTAGTACACCAGAAATACTAAGTCCTTTTCATTCTTCCTTAACTATTTATGCTGTTTTCAAAACAATCCAGTCAATTGATTTTTTTTTCTATTGCAAACACTTAAGAAGAGTACCTCCCTTCGCAAAAGTCTAAGAATTTTTACTCTGAAATCTTGTATCTGTGGTTCATAGAGTCAAGTACCCCCAGATATGAATTGAGAGCTACTCTTCCTCTAGTCTTCACCCCCTTTAACCTACCCCATCTCTGGTGTCACTGAGTAAGACCGTGAGAGAATGTGCACTTGTTTCATAGCAAGTCAGCTGTACCCAGGAAGCCTCAAACGTGAGTGGAAATAAGAGTTATGGAATGTTCATGTTCTTCCACCTTACTTCCCTTCCTCCCTCCCTCCTTTCCTTACTTTTTTCCTTCCTTCTTCCCTTCGGCAAATACTTGTTGAAGCTTCCTGTATTCCAAGCACTATTCTCAGTAAAGCCTGGGATAGACATAGATCTGATCCTTGGTCTTAAGTTACTCACAGTTTGGGGTAAATCAATATAGTGCAGTGAGCACTGTCATAAAAGATTTGCCAACGACACAGGCAAGCCAAGAGGATAATGACTGAGGGAGCCAGGCACCCAGGCCACATGTGATTAGAGCTCTGACATGAGTGGGATTCTCCAGGCACAGAGAAGGGGAAGGATGCACACAACAGAGAGAACACACATGCAGTAGCACAGAGTTGTAACTGCGTGCGGCATTTGGGGGGACATCCAAATACTGTCATGTGACTAGGGCGAGAGGGGCTAGGATTGCAGAGACATGGAGTGGGACATGAGGCTGGGAAGACAGAAACCAGATCACGAAGGATCTTGGTGCCAACTGTAAGGAACATGGACTTTACCTCATAGACAGTGGTCAACAGTTAAGCACTTTGTAAGCAGTGGACGACAACTTACGAAAAGGGAGACGGAAGTTGAGAGATAGTATTTAGGGGTGTGGGGACTTGGCAGAACCCAGTGACATATCAGACGTGAGGCATGAGCGAGAGGGAAGAGTCAGTGCTCAGGCTTTTCCTCTCCGGACTCTGAGGAGCTGAGATGGTTGCCTTAGGAATGAAGAGTCTGAGGTGTCTTTCACACTACTTAGACCTGTCACCTCGGCACCGATAGATGGATCCAGAGTCTAGGAGGAAGGCCGGGACCGTAACTACCACCAGAAACTTGAGTTTATCATCCCGAGCTCTTCCCGCTCACACCCCTCAGCACAGCCAATAATCGATCAACAAGTCTGGGCATCTCCTTCTCCATAATGCCTCAAATCCACCTACTTCTCTCCAGCTTGCTTCCATTCTTGCAAGGGTAACTGCAGCAGCCTCATCCCGAGGGGCCTCCTTCCCTCCCCTCTTGTCTGCCCCATTCCTTTCTCCATTAGTCTCTTTCCCCGTTGTCCACTCACCCACTGACAGGATGACCTTCCTAAATGTTCACATCTGTGTGCACCGCACCCCTGCTTAAGAACTTTCAGTGGTGCTCTGTGGCCCTGGACATCAGCCGCACTCCAGGTGTGGAATCTGAGCCCTGGTTTACCCTCCAGCCTCTTCTCTTACCTCTTGCCTGGTCATACTCTTCCTCGTTCCTACTGAGCCACCTGTAGATGCCTGGAGGGACCAAGCCCTCTCTCATCGTCACGCCTTTGAAGAGACTGATCCTTCCGTCTGGAATTCTTTTCAACCCCACCTCCAAGCCCTTCTGCTGGTTAACTCCTAATTCCCCTTCTGTTCTCAGCTGAGATCTCTGAAAAGCCCTTCCTAGTCACCGTGGCTGACTTTGGCATCCCTTCTAAGAGTTTTCACCCTAGCTCTGCTTACCCCGTGTCGCCGCTTTCGACCGAGCAGAACTGCCTGTGCCAGCTCGGTGAGATAGACACCGCCTTGTCTGCCAGTGCATGCCCAGTACCAGCAGGGAGCCGCTCCAGAGCAGGAGTTCAGGGAATATTTGCCAAGTGAATAAGTAAATGAGTCAGTTCATGGGAGCAGAAAGGGTTGCTCCCATCCTGCCTGTTGTTGAGAGGGAAGGCTCAGACCCTGGCTGTCAGCGTATGTTAAGGGACAGAGATGTAAGCAAGACCAGAGGGTATCTGATGAGGGGCAGCATTAGAGGTCATAGAACCAAAATCAAATGCAGCCCTGGAAGTCTACAAAACAACCTCAGAAAGAGAGTGGTCAAGAGAGTTGTACACCCAAGAGAGACTGAGAGGAGCGGGAACTCTTCGAATGCCCACTGGGGCAGGCTTGGCAACACAGACTTGGCCGTAGAGTAATTGCACAGGCTGCGGAGGGAACGGAAAGGGAGAAGATGCTGCGTGCGTGGGTGGCTTTAGAAGCTGGGCAGCACAGGGAAGCAGAGGTAGCCAGGTGGCTGGAGGTCAGGGAGGGTTGAGGGCATTGATTCATGATGGGCAGCAGCCAGCAGGAGGTCACTGTTGGAGTAGCGTCCTGGCACAAACTGCATGGCAGTCCTCTCCCTGAACACACGAGGACATTCCCACAGCCTGCCACGCCCTTCCTTTGGCAGGGGCGGCCATGTCTGTCCATCTTCCCACCGAGCAAGGGCAGGCCAGTTTGTGCTCAGCCTCTGCACAGGTGCCTGTCAGGTGGGACTCCCTCACGGCGCCCGCTGGTGCTGCTGCTCCTTGAATTTGGCCACAGTTTGTGAACCAGGTCTGTCCTCTACTCTCAGTCAATTCTAGGTTTTTTAGATTTTCCAAATCAGGCCAGTGGATGCTATTCTGTGAAAGAGAATCCTTGGAGTCTGATGTGAGAGTACTAAGAAAAGGCATTTCAGATCGTCAGATGTGCGTTTTTTACAGGAAAATCCCATGTGCACAGATTTAAAATTGTACCCTGCTTTGATGGTATAGAATTCTTTGCCAACTCTTGTTACCATGCAGAGTTTGGAAAGCACCAATGGTGTGGCATTAAGGGGACCTGATGTGTTTTATTTTATTAAATCAGCCCTTTATGTCTCAGGCAGTATGGGCGGGTAGTGAGAGAGAGAGGGTGTTTGAGAGATTCTTCTCCCGTTCTCACTTCACCTCAGATTAACCCAGCGCCCAGATTTGGGGGAGTGGAGGGGCGGGAGTCGGAGGTTTGCCTGTGGTCACATGGCTGCTCGGAAAAGCAAGATGGGACAAGATGGGGCCTGTCCTGCCACCCAGAGCTTGACAGAGAGCCCATTGTCTCGAAAATGTTATTGAATGGCTTGAGATGAGAAAAAAGTTTCTAAGGTTTTTAATGTGCCTGAAAATATCCTATTTAAAGATACTTTTTTCTTAAGAACTCTCTTTGGTTGAGTCTCAAAAATGTTTTAGACAAAAGTCTGCTCATTGTTCCCATTTTCTGTTTTTCCATCAGGCATTTTTGGTAAACTGTAGACAGAAGCTAAGTGGCTCTCAGATAAACTAATTTGCCAATTCCCAAGAGGGACCTATCTTCTTGTCTGAGCAGTGCCCAAATTCCTTCCCTCTGAGACAAACCGATGTTAAGAAATTCTCGACTAAAGAGCCAGACAGAAAGGGGGGTGGCTTCTGGCCTGCAGAAGGACCTTGTAGGAACGCCATGTGTGGCTTCAGCCGAGCTGCTGGAACAGCAGTGAGTGGGTTGGCGGTGCCCAGGGGAATGCTGAGCCACAGCTCTTCCTCTAGCAGGGCCAGGTGCCTGTAAAGAGTAGCTGGCGGACTAATGGGGAATCTAGGAGCAGCAGGACTGCATCTGCCTTCTCGTGCCGACGAGAGGTCCTCCCTCAGCCTACGCTCTGAGTCCCTCTGACATGCCTCTGTCCCCCGATGCCCCACCGAAGCCTCCCTGAGGAGTCACAAAGAGCATGGAGGGCTCTTAGGCTTAAAGCATCTGGCCACCTGGCGGGTGCATTCCAGCGAGAGCCACCCTCTCCAGCTGAGAACCTGCAGCACTCAGCAGAGGCTCCCCAGCTCTCTTTCAGCCAGAGTGAAAAAGACAGGGACAGCAAACTCGTTCAGCTGGCTCTGGATGGAGTGTGCCTCTCAGAAAAGGGGGGCCCTCTGAGCTGCAGTGGTTCTTAGGTCTCACAGCACCACAGGATGGATTTTAAAGGCAGTGTCCTGTACGTCGGATCTTTCAGCTGAAAGTGGACAAAGTAGCGGGCAGTTCCAGGGGCGGCCCTCGGAAGTCTGGTCGCAGTGGCAAAGCCAGCACCATGGTCAGCAGAGCGGTGAGCAGCACTCCCACCAGCAGCCCGGTCAGACTGAAGTGTTCCAGGTAAATCGAGCGAGCACCGCCTTCTCGTAGGTACCGGCGCCTTCTCTCTGCTTTCTTTCCCCTGCCAGCTCTGCCGCATCTTGCCTGCCAGATAGTGATCGTGAGTTCTGGCCCAGCCTGGGGCTAGAGGGGGTCCAGGAATAGAGGGTCCCGTCCTGCTCCACCAGAAAGCTCAGCAGCACTGGGGAAAGTGAAGGGGCACATAGCCTTTGAACAGAGGCACACGAAAGTTGGAGACTTCCCTGCCCCAAGCTCCAGAGCAACCCAGGAGAGATGCACAAAGCCAAAGGTGCCAGGGAGCTTGGTCCGGTGCAGGGCCCACGGCCTCTCCTGAGAGCTGCTGGCGCCTCGGCCTTCACTGCGTCCTGCTGCCCCACCCACCTCCTCCCCACTACAGCACCCAGGATGGGGAGGACGTCCCCACCCAGGCCCGTGTCCCAGTTCTGGCTGCAGCCTGGCTCAGCTCTCCTCTGCTTGAGTGCAGGCAGATGCCCACTGGCTGAGGATACCTGGGCACCTGGCAACTCTCCGCTGTTTGAAAAGTTCTTGGCCCATCCTTCGTGCCTCAGGCAGACCTGGCCTAACTGTGCAGCTGGAGCGAGCCCCGCCGCAGCCCCAGCCGACAGGGCTCTGCCTACTTTGGATTTCTTTGGCTCCACTTTCAGCCAGAATGTTCCCACTGGAGGGTTCCAAATGGGAGTACGAGCTAACTTCCCCTCCACCCAGAACTCAGCCCATCCCACCAGGTCCTTGTCAAAGAGCCAGACACCCCCTGTCGTGGCCCAGAGCCCTGCCCGAAAAGCAAAGATGGAGTGGGAGGGTTCTGAGACTCTTCGGATGGTGACCCCTCCATTGACCCCACCCACATCCCAAGATTCACTCCCACCAGGTCAAGCAGCATCTTCTCAAAGGCCTAGAATCCAGGTGTCCCTCAGGGCCCAAAGGGGCTGCCTCTTTTTAAATGTGCAGAGGATGCCCCAGGCCCTAGCCGTCTCCGCTGACCTGCAGTGACTGCCTGTCCTTGTTCCCTCTGTAAGGCCCTGGCTGCTGCCCGTCCTCAGGCCTCACGGCCGCCCTACAAGACAAAACTTCCTGGCAGGCATCTCCTTGGTCACAACGCTAGAAAGAATTCTTGGTCAACTAAGTTTATGAAACACTGGTCAAACAAAGTTTTTCAGCTCTCTATTGCAGGAATTATCGTAGCCTCTATTCCACCAGTGAGGACTGTGGATTTCTAGGAGGTAGGCAGTTTGCCTTGTTTCCCAAGCTTATTTGTCCACAGAATTCTTTTCTCACAGAGTATCACGTGGGCCGAGAATTCAACAGAACATACATCGGGAAATTTGCCATGAGAAAGTGAAATATGGCCACTCCTGTTTTCTGGACGGATAGTCTGAGGCCCAGAGAATGTGGAGGACTTGTGAAACCTGAAGTCTGACCATTCAGGGCTGCGGGCCAGCCCTAGTATGCGCGCCGAGGACAGGCACGCAGGTCTGCACACGCACCCTCCCTCCGCCCCGGGCCACCTGCATTTCTGTTGCGTTCTGATCATCTGCTTTGTGTACCGTGCTGGGTTCTCCCCTCCAGTGGGGCTCTTGTCCACCCTGTGTCCTGGCTCAGCTTTAGATAGACAAAGGTTGTGTCCTGTCATTCTTTACCTGCTGGCATGATGGCTCCCAAGGGAGGAGAATTTCCCAGGACCAGGCAGAACCCCCCCTCCCCCACCCACCAGCGGGCTGGGGAGTGTCCCTGGGCTGTCCCATTAAAGAGATGGCTGTGAGGGCGAGTGGCAGGCTGGGCTCCTGGGACGTGCCCAGTGCATGGACAAATAAGCTGACTCCCTGTGGCTTTCTCTTCTTCTCTTTTGCAGGACATGCTGCCCATGCCAGGAGACCCAACCCAGGGGACTGGCAACTATAACATCGAAGACTTTGCCGACCTGGGCATGTTTCCACCATTTTCTGAATAGCTGCGGGCAGAGCAAGGCTCCCGCCATACAGTGCCACCCATGCTGTGACGCTGCCTGTGTGAACGGGTCCCCCTCTGCCCTGCCTGCCCTGCACAGGAGCCCCCACCAGAGGCCATCTCACCCCCCTGTGTCCCCTCGGGCACAGAAGTGCTCAGCTCTCGCCTGCAGCCATGGCTGCCTGGCCACTGACCAGGGGCCCTGGTAGACATGCGGGGATCACTTGTATCTATTGTACTCTACCTGCGTGTGCTCAGGAGGTGAGCCCACTGGGTCCTCAAATTTGGGTGTGAATAATCTTCTAATAGACCATTTACACCTATAAAATTTCAGTTAACGCCCAGAGTGACCAGGAGCACCAGCAGCCTGCCCAGGATGCTGAAGTCAGGTTTCTCCTTGCTTTTCACCTCGGCTGCGTGGTGGGGCTTGGGGGTGGGGGTGGGAAAAGGGGCAAGCAGGACGCGCAGCCTTTGTTCTGTGAGCTGGAGCCGAGGAGCACAGGGACGGAGGTGGCCACCCCCTAGCTCCAAGCGCTGATGTGTCTGTGCATCCATTGTGCTGTGGGACATAAGTGCTTTGTGTAGTGTGACGTGAACGCCCGTCCATGTGGATGTGTCGTGCCTCGTGTCTGTTGTGTGTGGCCAGAGGGAGTGTGTAGAATCCAGAGTGTATAGTGAGCGTGAGAGCCCGGAAGCGCAGCCCCTGTCCCAAGCTCAGAAGCACCCTGATCAGAGGATGCTCTGCCCACCGGGTCTGGGAGCTGGGCTGACACTTCAGCACCAGCTGTAGTCACGGCTGGGGACCGGCTCACTTTAACAGGTCCAAGCCCCCTGGTGCCGATTCAAGCTCCTCCTCTGCGAGGAACCAGTCCCTTCCTCCTGTGGCAGCCCTCATGGGAGCCCTCACCGTTGACTTGCTCAGGTCTGGACAGCCCTGTTCCTGGTCACATGTAGGTGTCTTTCATCCTTGCTCCCCTGGTGAGAGATGGGGCTTAACCGTGCCCAATGCCTGCAGGAAAGCACACCTTGAGGTCTCAGAGGCTGGGTCCTTGTGTGCAGGTGTGAGTGGCAGGCGCAGGATGCCCAGGCTTCCTCGTGTCCTGTGCCACAGTCTGCTCAGTGACTCTGGAGGTGGCTTAGGGGTCATGCGTGGAGATGGATGCTCTGAAACACTTGCCTCCAGGCCTCCTGAGCCTTCTGTCTTCAGCCCAGCTGGAAGGACTGCGGCATCTTGGGAGGGACAGAGTGCAGGTCAGTGGGGCAAAAGACTTGGGTTCTGGTTCTTTCACACACTCACTGGGGCCTTGAATTCTTCGGGTAGTCTCGAGACAGGAGCTGACTTCTGGAAGCTTCTGCCTGGCTGGCCTCTGAGCCCAGGGCCCCTGGCTTGCTGTGACTGCTCAGATCTGAGGAGAAGAATGTAAGACCCCGCCCGTCTTAACGCACCTTCGCCGCCTCCCACACCCTTTGTGCTAGCAAAGGCCCCTCAGCCTCTCTCATTTTCTTCTGTCTGTGACCATCACCCTCACATTACCCACCACCAGCCCACACACTCCCATGCAGGAGAGGCTGCCATGGCCGCCTTGGGGCAGGTGGAGGAGCCCACCCCCCAGGAAAATCCTTGCATCCCTCCCAGAGTCCCCTCCGGCAGCCCCTCACAGGCACTGCTTGGTGGTGCATATGCTCAGAAACCACCTGAGAATCTGCCCACGGATTCTGGAGGGCCAGGGGAGTGCGTTGGTTCTAGGCTGCCTGAGAGCAGAGTGAACCCAGCATGCAGGAAGGCATCAGGGGAGAACCTTCGCTCTGATCCTTTGAAACCTCTGCATTGAACACCAGCCCTGTCTGGAACCCAGGGAGATCTGTGTGCCCAGTGGTGCTGGGAAGCCTCACATCTAACAGCCCAACACTGCTCAGTAGAATGCCTTTAGCCAGTAGCCAGCTTTGTGTGACCCCAGTTCCTAGACTCTAACTTAACCTTGACTTTACAATTTATAGATTGCGTATAGTGATAACTGGGTCTTGAATTTAGATGCATGTGGTGTTTGCTCTAACCTCAGAGGCTGTCTTGCTTCTGCAGAAATGGCAGGTGGTTGAAACTCCACATGTCCCGACAGGACCCTCCTCGAGACAGACCTCCCTCTGCGTGCCCTGTCCCTGGGGTCACCTCTGCCTCCAGCAGCCTTGAGCTTGCCCCAGGCAGTGGGCACCATTATTTCCAAAACAGGCACAAAGATGGCTTTTGGATCAAAGAAGTGTTTCTCAGTGAAATAAAAAGAGACTTTCTGTGACCTTTAGCTCACTAGTTCAGAAGTTTTGGGGTCTTCTGTTTGGTTTTGCTTCCTGTGTTTTGGAAGGAAGTTGGGGGCTTTTCTTAGGTACACACATGAGCTGAACACATTGACCGTGGATCTGCCTAGTATCCAGGTCTGTGTGGGGCCCTCGGGGGACGCAGAAGAAATGGGAGTGGATCCTTGCTCCCAACGACCTTACATCTACTCCTCTCACTTAAATAGGGGTTTAGGACACAGCCAACTCAGTTCTCGGTCCTGGGAAGGAAGGATTCGTGCCTGACTGAAAGCCAGACATAATGGCGGAGCATCATGACTAAACAGGCCCCACCTCCTTCCCTTCCAGCTTTGTCCTGGAGCAGGGCAGGGACTCTGAGTGGAATGTGATTTGCTGGCTTGAGTTCCCTGTCTTTTCTACTGTAACCATAGTGTGGCCAATAAGAGAGACAGGGGAGATAGAGGAAGAGAAAACCAGGACTGGGAGAATCCCGCACGCAAGGGATTCGCTCAGCAAGGATTTTCGAGATACACTGGAGTAAGCATTAAAGCCCTCGAGGGATTAATTATCCTAGTTTGCAAAAGAACCTCCCATGCCAGTTGCGCGCTTCCTAGGAGGCCAGAATGCTCATGGCCCCGTGTCTGCTTGTCCTTCAGCCCATGCCCAGCCAGACGCCTCTCCTGCTGGAGACAGAGGTGAAGCTGGATTAGAAAGGGGAGGGACACTTATGACTTGGCTCTGTGACACTTGCTTGCTCACCCCTCATCTGTACTACTAGACTTTCAACTGGCTTCCTTAGGCTCAGCAAGCAGAGGAGGACCATGCGGTGGCTGCCTGAGCCATTGGCAAGGACACAAATGCAGCCACATCAAGGCTTCACCAGGACTGGGTCAGTGGCTGTGATGGTGGTCCAGGATGGTTCTAGAACACTCTGCCTGTATGTCACTGCCCCCTAGTTTTTTTAGTTTTGTTGTCAGGGAGTGATAGAGCCATCACAAACAGCCACATTCTCTTTTATTTTCCAGCACATCAAGTTCAACCCCTCTGTTATTTCATGCATAATGAATATTGCAAATAGTAGGTGGGGCTTATAGCTTCAGCTTACATCTTCCCAGTTAGCCACACCTGCAGATGTCAGTGCTCCTGCTAGCTTCAGCCAAGTGACGAGGCTGGCCCCAGGGAATGAATGATGCCCTCTTCCCTCCCAGCAGCACTTTAGCTCCTGGTGAGCTCTGGTAGAACAGTGAACGCTTGCCTCTCAGGCCCACCTGAAGCTTCAGCCAAGTGACGAGGTTGGCCCCAGGGAATGAATGATGCCCTCTTCCCTCCCAGTAGCACTTTAGCTCCTGGTGAGCTCTGGTAGAACAGTGAACGCTTGCCTCTCAGGCCCACCTGCTCCTAACAGTTCTGACCTGTCACATAAACAAGAACAAGCCAGTAACCTAACAGCTCTAGCCGGCAACAAGTCACAGTAGAAATGCTCTTTGTATTTCCAGCAAATATGGGTTTGGTCATTAAGTTGCTGTGTCCTAACTTGCCAAGTACTGCAGAGCTGTGAGCTGCCTGGCTATCCGCCTTTTTAACTGCCTGGGGTCTGAGGTGACTTGAAGAGACACCACGCGGTGGTGCAGGCACATTTGCACATGTAGGTGTGCCTGGGTCTGGTGGCCAAAGTTGGTTTTATGGTCAAGCCACTGGCTAAAGCCTGTGGGGTGCTACGAAAGTAGCAAAATACTGTGGGGGAGCAGGGCAGCTTGCTTGTATCTCAGTTTCCTTAAAAAAAAAATTTACAAGCAGGCTTCTGTGGACCATTTAAGCACTTAATCGTTTCTCTTTTAACCTTTTTTCCTATGAATGTGAACTGTGCTGTGGATAAATCATCATTTGTATTTCTTGAATGTTCTCTATGACTAACAGTTATTAAGTTGGTTGTGTATATGTGTAACTAATGTAACTGCCTTTTAAAATTTAATTACAATAAAAATGACTTTGCTCTGAACAGTGAGTGGTCCAACTTTGTAATTGAACTGTTTATGGAACTACCCCTCGGAGCTTGGGATATATCTTTTGTTCTACCTCTTCCTAAGGGCTGTATTGTATCATGGTCAGTAAAGGGTATGGAGTTAACACCAAGGTCAAGGGTTCTGGTCCCCATACAGGCCAGCCACCAAAAAAAAAAAAACTTAGGGGTGGAGTACACGTATGCTAGACAGCAACCCTTTAGAGGGGTCTAGTGGCTTAGAATAGAAAATGAAGCTAATGATTCTTGACCTATGATAGGCAAGTCGCTTTAGAATGTTCTTTGCAATCACTACAGCTCTTCTATGTGGTTAATATTCCTGGTTTACAGATGAAGAAGCTGGGACTCAGAGAAGTTAAGTGACTTATCTAAGAACACAGAGGAAGAAATGGCAGAATCAGGATTTGATCTCAGACCTAACTCCAAAACCCTGTATATATTGTCCTCTTCAAACACTCATTTTTTAAAATCCTCATAAAATTAAGTTAGAATTTTAATATGCTCAAACCTCTGATAAACACAAATTCTAGTTCTCTTCTGTTGAAAGAAGACTGTTTGGGTTCTAGCAAATATTGCAAACTAAAATCACTTGAAAACTCTTTTCCATTAAACATCTAGCATTACCAGTTTTTTCTTTTTACAGCGTTATTGGCCTAATATTGACATAAAACAAGCTGCACATATTTAAAGTGTATATAGGAGAAAATTTTGTGCCCTTGAGTTAGGAATGGGCTTATCAGACGTCACACCAAAGGCATGATCCATCAAAGAATAAATTGACAAATTGGACTCCATCGAAATTTAAACTATTTACTTTTCAAAAGGCACTATTAAGAGGATGAAAAGATAAGCCATGAACTGGGAGGAAACATTTGTAAATCATATATCCGATAAAGGACTTGTATCCAGAATATGTAAAGAACTCTTGCAACTAAAGACAACTCATTACAAAACAGGCAACAAAAAAAATTGTTTTTTTGAACAGGCATGTCACCATAGAAGATACACAGATGACAAATAAGCACATTTTAAAAATGGTAACATCATTAGTCATCAGGGAAATGCAAATTAAAAGCTCAATGAGACATCATTCTAATATTTAACTAAAATTTAAAAACACTGGCAACATCGAGTGTCCAGGATATGGAGCAACAGAGGTCCCTCCTACAGCCAAAATGGTACAGCCACTTCCTGTAACAGTTTGGCAGTTTCTTATAAAGTTAAGCACTCACCATATGACCGAGCTTTTCCATACTTAAGTATTTGCCCAGGAGAAATGAAAACACATTTCCACACAAAGACTTCATTAGGAATATTCATTGCAGCTTTATGTGTTGGAAAAGAACCTAAATGTCCATCAGCAGGTGAGTGGATGAACAAATTGTGGAATGTCCACACAACGGAGCATTCATTGCTCAGCAACAGTGTAAAAAGAGCTCAAAACATCATATGGCACAGAAGCAGCCACGCACAAACGTACAGTATGATTGCATTTATATGACACTCTAGGAGAGACATATTCAATCAATAGGGACAGAAGGCAGATCAGTAGTTGCTGGGCCAGAGGAGGAGGCGGGGAGTAGACAGGATGAGGCACAAGGAAATTTTCTGAGATAATGGGAAGGTTCTATATCTTCCTTGTGTGATGGTCACAAAGGCAGAGCTCAACAAACTGTTCACTTAAGATGGGTACTTTGAATTACATTGTGTGTATTATATCTAAATAAAGTTGATGTAAAAATAATCACAGCAGAGTTTTTTGTGGAATTTGTCAAGGTGATCCCAAATTTTCTATGGAAAAAATAAAGGAAAAATAACACTGTCATGTGCAGACACTTATTGGTAGGCTAAGATCACTCGAGACAAAGTTATTGATACTCGAATCACACAGTTTATTGTTCACACATATCACACATAACACACTTTCAATTACTCTATGTTCTAGACTACTTCTAACTAACTAAATTATCCCTTAAGTGCACACAACTCCTATTCTTTATCCTGTTAGGAACAGGTCAGAGATCTTACGTCTCCATCACAAGGTCCTTTCCTGACTCACATCCACCAGGAACTGGGTACATCTGATGGAACGTGACTGATGATCCTTGAGAATGTGGCTTGAAAGCAGCGTATACCTGGGTCCCTCATCAGTGTGGCAGAGGCAGCACTCAAAGGTCCTTACCCTCGCAGGCTAAAGGTCCCGTGGGCTTCAACAAGACTGGCTTCCACTTCTGTGTGAGAGTAGCCCACGCCAAGAAGTGTCAGTTCCAATCTATTTCCCTCCACTGGACCAAGGATCCGAGTGACTGGCCAGCAACCCGCCACAGCTGACAGATGCAGCAAAGGTGGTCTGTTATATAGTCCTTGCTTGGGTGTCTGGCAAGGTTGATAAGGTGATGTCACTTGGATGACCATCTGGAGCACCTTCGTCCAGATGATAATATCTCCAAAGGGTGTGATTGGTTAAGGCCCAGGGTGTTCACGTCACCTGCTTAGGCCTGCCAAGTTCATGATGTAAGTTTCCTTGACCAAAGTTCCTCCATCTTAAATTAGCCCAAGGCACTTGTTTAGCACTTCCAACAAATACCCAATACATTTTGTTGAATAAGATATAAAAAAAGAAGAGAGAATATGAGGGAAAAGGAAGAGTGAAAAAAGAAGAAAACAAACAAAAGTTCACCCTACAAGACAGTGGGAAGCTTTATAATTAAAAGTGTGGGGTTGGCATGGACACAGAAAACTAGATCAATAGAACACCAGAAAAACCTAAAAACATACGCACATTCTGAAAGGAGATTGTTATTTGGAAGAGTCAGTATTATGAATCACAGAGATCAGATAGACTTCCAGTAAATGGTGGTAGAGGGAAAGCACATAGGAAAACAAATAATTACATCCTTATCTTACACCATATAGAAAAAATAAATTCTGCACCAAGAAGTAGCCTCTCAGTTCCTTCTTGAATCTCTGCCTGCTTTGGCCCACCCT